TTCTATGTTTCTGATGAACTCTAACCTTCCAATGTTGCCCTCTAAGCAAATTGAAAGCTGCCTTACACTGAATGAGGAAGAGCACAAATACTTGGCTGAATGAGGTATCACAAAAGATTGCGTGCACTTTGAAGAAAAACTTAAGTTACTGTCATACGATTTCCATTCTTTTTAGCTTTTTCTTAAATATATGACAAATACCTACACAAAGAGTGGAATTTCAGTCAATCTAGTAAATTTATTTTCCAGACGGACATTCAGCTTAAATATGCCAGCGTGTGATTAATCCACAGGCAGCTGATGAACACAGTATTGTCAGATTGGTCACAGATGCTAGTAACTGTCTTTAAACTGAACTCAGAGAATGCAAAAGCGGCAAGTTCAGAGAATAAAAGGCAGGAACAGGACTGTGAGTCCATTTTAAACCCATGGGCCAGAAACCGGACCCTGTTAATTAGCCACATTATTGCGTCTAACATTTTTTATCATTCTGCACCTGGGTTTATCTAATGTATTGATACATTCATACAATTCGGAAGAGTCAGTTGAAGTCACAAGGACCCAATATTTGCGCTCTTTCATTGAATGCAGGCAAATCTGTTATTCTATCGGTAAAATCGTATTGTTGCTCTCCTGTTAGAATATCATATTTATAAAAGTATCATGAGGATGCCAAATGCTAAAAATGGAGATGATCTAGTAACTAGAAATCCCCACCCCAGGGAGCACACGTACATATCTCCCTACATCCTAATACTGTGATGTGTTTTGAACACAGACATTAGAACCTCATGAAGTTTTAAGTGTTGATTCTTTCCCAAGCATCATCAAGCTATGATTTAGGGAATGTGTGACTGAAATTCATTCATTTCTCATGCATAGGCACAATCACATAAATATTGCACAAAATATATCCCTAACTGACACCGAGAGGTACAAAAACATATTTCACTCTTCGTAAAGAAGTTTGTGAGGAAATATACCTGTGATTGTATAGACACGTTTCCTGATAATACATTGACATTCACAAACAGTAGATTGCACTGCAGTTTGTAAACATTTTAAGTTGCATAAACTTCTCCTTGATTTTCAAAGCTAGTATAATACTGTCTCCTAAAACTCCTTTTTGTTTCAACTAAGTACTCTCACATATATTAGTTTATCATAATGTTTGTTATTAATGTTTAAAGTGTTTTCCATTCAAGGAAAAGAAGTAAATTCCTATGTCAGAGTAACCAAGGTGTTTGAAGAATAGGTATTAGCCAGAGAGGTCTAGATGGTAAAATCAATCTTCAAGCCTCAAAGAAGCTCCGTGAACAGAAGAATGCCAGGTGTCACACGGCTTTCCTGTAATTCATTCTTGACTAGAGCCTGTATGCCTGTTCCAGGGACATTTAAACTCGTAAAGGATTTCTTATGATCTTTACTACGTACATTAAGAAGAATGCCAGCCAGCGCCCTTTTGTGTACTGGGACATGTAGTCATGTGATTAACACAGGTAACATGAACTCTGATTTTCAAATGTATTACAGATACCAATGCTCTAAGCTAG